CAGGTGTGTACTTGACCTCTCTAAGTGTCCTTTCATTCAGGGAAAAATGTGGTTTGCTCAGCCCAAGGATGCTGATTTTTCATTTAGCCACGATATCAATAGTCATTTGGCCAGCCTCTCCATTGTTGGAAACACGATCCCCACTCCCGACCCTATTAAGGAGAAGGCTTTCTGTACTCTGGATAACTTGAATGCAGGAGTTGAAAACCAGGGCCAGATTAAGATGTCCATCAGTGAAGTGTGTCGGGAGACTGTGTCATGTTGCTGCAACTCATTTCTGCAGCAGGCCGGATTAGATTTGTTAATAAGCATGACAGTTATTAATAACATGCTTGCCAAGTCCGATTCAGACTTGAAGTTCCCTTTGCTATCGGAGGGGAGGGGATGTGCTGAGGTTCAGGCTTTGAAACTGTCGATGGGTTTGTCTGGAAAGCCGGTCTTGGCAGGGGAATCGCTGGGTGCCCAAACGCCGCTCTCATTCATGTCCCTCTTGATCAGGAACGGAAACACACAGGTGCTCCCTGACACCCTGGCCTCGTAGAGGGCCATCTGGAGCAGAACGGAACCGAATCCACCCAAAACCCTGCTGGAGAACACCCACCTGTGTTCTCATTCAAAGAATCTGCAGTGGGTGCTGTTGAAGACCCGGCCTTAGCCACCACATCACGGGGTGAAAGTTACACTTGCTCCACCGAGGACCACGCTCTTCTGGGCCAGGCAGGGGTCCCCCCGGGAGCTCTGAGTAACTTCTTGGTTTTGCAGTCTGCAGGCAAAGTGCATTGTCAGTTACTCCCTTGCGGCCTTCCTCCTGCGGTAAAGGGATCTTTTCAGCAGCCAGCTGTGCCTACAGAACATCCTGTGAGAGCATGGCCGGGGAGGTCTTGCCTCTGGTGGTCTCCCTGTGTCAGCTGGACTGTTTTTGAGGAGACCAGGCGCGTGACGGGGCTCAAGCTGCAAACGCATCTGTTGCCTCTTAGGTTGAATTCCTCCCACTGACTCCTTCTTCGCTGCGAGCTGATGGATGGTGAACCTAGTCATCCACAAAGGACACTCCCCTCCTCTGTGCTCTACTGACTTGACCTCCTCCACCCAAGCCTACATTTGTACGCATCATCAATAAAGTCGTGTGCTTTGATTGGCAAAAACGGGACGTGGAACTTGTCCTTGAGTTGACAGTCTACACACAGAGGAAGACAAAAGTAGGTGACCAAGGCGAACCACCTGGGGCCTTCGCTCCCTGACAGGGGCACTCTTACCAGGTGCTCATAGGGGGCAGGGGTAGAGGTGGGCTGGAGCGCTCAGGAGAAGGGGCTGGGGGCCAGGGGCGGAAGCCAGGGAGCAGAGGTGGGATTCGTGGAGGACGCAGGGCACAACACCTGTGAAGCCGGCGGCATTGTGCCTGGCACCTGGAGCAGAGAAATCCCTCCATGAAGGTGTCTCTCCTTGACTGCCAGCCTGGGCAGGAGGGTCAGTATCCTTGGGGTCTGTCTACACACCCTTGGGGACCAGTTGGCAACCCATCCCCCTACATTTAACTCACAAGACTGGCAGCGATGGTTGCCGCTCGCTGCGTGCCCACTTGGCGTCCTTCTCCCTCCCCTGCAAAGCAGCTGTTAGACCTACTTCCAGGCCCACTCCCTTCCTTGGGAGCCCAAGTCCGACTTCCTGGCAGAGGGAGAAGGGTCGGCCCCCTCTTCCTTCAAGGGAACCTCTTTGCTGCCCTCTCCTCTGTCCCTTTGATGACATCCAAAAAGGGGCCGGTGGAGCCCTCCATGAACTCCCCAACAGGGTGGTGGGGCAGACGCTGAGGGGGCCTGGCAGGGCTATGGCCGGTCCACTGGGAGACACATCTCCGTCACCCGCATCCAAGCTCCTGGCACCCCTTGCAGAAAAGGAGGAACCCAGCCCTGTGCATGGACCCATTCTGTGGATCTGGACGCCTCCTGCTGCCACCCCTCCCAACACTGCCAGACCTCTCCCAGCAACCCTGGGCCCCTGCATCACCAAAGCCAGCTTCCCTGAGTGTCTTTGACGTGTCAAGCAGTGGTCCTCTTTCCCTGAGCCCTGGCCCACAACACAGGCAACAAGAAACTTCCCTTGGGCAGCGCTGCCTCTGTGCCTGGTGCCCTCTCCTGGTCTCTCTGGGATGCGGCTCTGGGCCACTGTGCCCTGGGCATCAGCACTCTGTGCCTGCTCTGCCTTCTGATGCTCTCCTCCACAGAGACCATAGTTGTATCGGTCCTCCCTTCTCCCGGAGTTTGGCTGGCAGGTAGATTACAACCCCTCAGCTTTTAACCGACCCCCCCCAACCCCCTACCATCTCTGGGCTGACTAGAAGGTATGGGGGCCTGCCAGGTCCCAGGACCGTCTCTGGGGAATCTTCCAACCTGCAACGGGGACACCACCTCTCCCCAGGCACTGGCACCTTGGATGGCCAGAACGTGACTTGTGGTTGCTGTGACAACACACCCCCATCAGGGCGCGCTCTCTCTCTCTGTCTCTCTCTCTCTCTCTCTCTCTCTCTCTCTCTCACACACACACACACACACACACACACACACACAGCTTCCCACCCCTCCCCAGGCTTCCTCTGCTGGCTGTCCTGTTTCCTATGAGTTGCTAATGCGACCAGCCCTTTCTCCCAAGCCAGCCTCCGGTGGACTGGGCAATGTTTCCCAAGTAGGAGTGCCTTGGACACTCCAAGCGGAGCCTGCTGGGCCAATGCTGTCTTCAGCGACACACCTGTTTGTGCTCAGCCTCTTGAATCTCAACACAGAGGCAGGTCTTCTCCTTCCTCCCGGCTTGGGCTCCCAAATTGACAGGCGCCTCCCCACTCTGCGCTCTGCCAAATCCCCATTCCAGTGCTGCCACAGGCAGTTGTCCCCCATCTCCAAGGCAGGCCCTTGGCCCTTTCAGGCCACTGCTGACTTCTACCACAGGGAGGGCCTTGGAGACTGTCTGCTCATCTCCTGAACGACTATCTGTCACAGGGAAGACTGTTGGCCTCCAAGGGTCTCCAGGCTGTGGTCCTGGCTCGAGGCAAGAGCCTCCTGTGCATCTGCTGGCCCTGCCCTTCCCAAAGCCTTCCCCCTGCACCTGGGAGCTCGGGCCCCTGGTCTGCCCTTTATCCCTTGGATGGTTGCTGTGCCAGGCAGGAGCCCCAGGGGCAGTGGAGGGGGTTCGGGGGCATGCCTGCCAGTCAGGGCCCGATGAAGACATTTGGAGGCTGTCAGCAGCAGGAAGACCATGGTACACCCCCCACACGTAATGCCGAATGGAACGGCATGGGACCACCAGCCCCATGCCTGCCTGCCCCTGCCTGCCAACTTGCCCACCTGCCTGCTACAAGGAACAGATTCTTTCCGGGCTTCCCCATGGTAAACATTTGACAAGGGCATCAAAGCTGCAGCCTGGCACACTGTGTCGGGGAAGGGCCCTGCCTTGATGGGGCCCGCCCCGGCCTGGCCTGCCTCTTGGGAAAATCTGGGGGGCCCATCCCCACAGACTGCCTTCCAGCTCCACCAAAGGCCTGGTCTTGCTTCTCAGGCATCTCCCGGTGACATCTACATCAGGTGCCTGCACGTACTGGCTGCACACTGACTCCCAGTGCCCTCCCAGTCTTGCTACCCCTCCTAGAGGTCTTGGGATTTGACCTCCAGCCCCCCTACCCCCGTGAAGAGCACACGCAGGAAGTTGCAGACTTCCTGCTTCCCAGCCCATACAGCCAGTCTCAGCCTCTGCCTCCTCACCGGGACCCTAGCTAGCTCCAGTCTCACCGCAGTTCCCCCCACCAGCCCCTCACTTTGATGTGCCCACCCCACAGAGCGGCACAGCCCTCACCAGGCCAATCTTTAAGCTGCCACAGCACCGTTCAGTGGACAGCTGGACAACTGTGGCCAGGGCTGGCCCCAGGCTCCCTTCCGCCCCCAGTGCAGCTGGTCTAGGATGCAGGCGAGTGCCTCACTGCAGTCCAGCACCGTCCCACCGAGGATGAGCCAGTCCCTCGTGTGCCACACATGCTGTGGGCCTCACCTCACACCCTGTCACTTCCCTCCTCCTCTCTTTGCTCATGGCCTTGGGGGCACCCTGAGGCCAGGCTCCTTTCCCCTTACTGCCTCTTGTTTTGGTGTGTGGCCTGGGATGTCCTCCCTCATGCCCTGATTACAGACAGAGTCTCCTGTGTGGTTTCCGAATTCCTTCACACTCTTCCACTGAAAGGGTTGTCTCACAGATCAACTTGGAATTTACGTCTGTGCAAGCTGGGAGGGGTGACCCAAATTTTACTTCTCCCCCCCCCCGCCCCGCCCCGCCCCGCCCGTGGATAACAGGTTAACCCAGCACCATTGATCACTCGGGCTCACGCTGCCTGCCGTGTGGCACATCTGGGACCCTCGTGCACCCAGCCCAGCTGAGCATCCCCTCTGTGGCTCCCTGGTGTGAGTCTCCCCTGAGGCACACCTTTCTCCCAGGAACCTCTAACTGACTTGGGGACCCTCAGCTCACCGGGGGCCCTGATGGTAGGTGCTGTGTGTGTTAGCAGGGAGGTGAGTGTGGGTGCTTGTGAGCAGGCCTCTGCCCCAGGTTCCTTCTTGGGACACATTCTGGCCCACAGGAGACGTAGGAA